GAGTCAGTGATGTCAATTGTTTTGCAATTGCTGAAACACTGGAAAATATATTAAAATTGAATCAATTTGAATTTTTTAAAAAAATATGGATTTAGGTCAAATATTAATTTAATCCAGTACTTTTACTAAATTGAGTTCGAAATGTAAATGTAAAGTGGATCGATTTAAATAGTGAAACTAAATGAAATGGTCAGTAAATTTATATAGTAAAACCCCTCGATCAGCTGGTTCTCTCGTTCATTCGGATTGCATTTACCAACTCATTGCGTATATTATAGTCCAAATTTTTGATTTTGTTATTAAAATCGTAGCAAATTGTAGTGAAAATGGCACCTATTCTGTTTAAAGTTCATATTTTGCAATGATTAATTCAGTTTTCTATAAATAAAATAAGGGTTAATTTAAACCAATATAAATCCTTGATATCCGGAAAGGGGTCTGAAATAAATTATGCGGATTTGCAAGATTTTACTATATTTTCATTTTCAAACTTTGGTAAGATTCCGACAATTTCACTATCAAATCCTAGAAATTTCCACTAAAATTCAGAATTATTTGAATAACTAGTTGTGTGTGAGATTCTATTCAAGAAAATTTTTGCTTTCAGTATTTCCCCGTTAAATACAATAGGTCAATGACAATATAACATAAATATGAATTTTGCATATCTTTCTCGAATTTCGGTGATGATTTTATTTTGCATATTTTGTTTTAAAGCATATTTATATTTGCATATGAAATTTATTCGGTATACGGGTGCAAATATTGAATAATTATGTGACAACTCCTACAAAACTTTTTTTCTTACTAACTTTTCAAAAAATTCTATTTATGGATAGTTTTTGAACGGATAAGTTTAGAAGTGGATTTCTTCAAAACAAGTTTCACACAATTTGTGCAGTTTTGGAATTTTTTTGGGGGCAAACTAAAACTATTGCTTAATTATCGGAACAGTGTATCGTGAAATTGTAAGCAATTATAAAAAAAGTTCCTTCTTTAAAGTCTTTAATTTTCCATGTAAAAGTCAATTTCACCGTTGAAAGATAAAAATCGTTCATTAAAGTCTTTAATTTTCCTTGTGAAAGTCCATTTCACCTTCGCTCCTTTTTTTGCTCTCTGAAAAACAATGATTTTATTTGAATGGTATTTTTCCATGTAAAATTACTATAAATAAATCAGCTCTCTCAAATAGGCTATTTTCGCGTTTGTCATGTTTACATATTAATTTTAAAAAATTGCATCAGTTATTAGCACCACTCTATTAACAACCAGCATTGTTTTTTTTTTTTTAATTTGTACCCATGTAAACAGAGACACGACGAATCCAACCGGTGTGTGTTTTTGTTTGCAAGATCCTTCTCCCCACCTAACTCATTCACACACACACGCATGCATACACCCAACAACAACTACCTCTATCTCTCTCTACCCTAGCTAATGTGCAAAAAAAGAGAAATGTAAACACGATAGTGTGGCGTGATTATTCAAAATTTCAAGTTCAATGCAACAACAACAGCAATAAAAAAAGAAAAATGTGCTTCTCATGCATTTGCAGAGGAGAGAAGACATTCATCGATAAGTAAATTTATTTATATGTATGTTTTGTTGTGTGGTTGTTTTAATAAGCTCGCATGATTAATATAAAAAAATAACAACAAACTGTCGGCAAAAAATATGATGTATTGTTGTTGTTTTACTACTCTTGTATTTAACAATACAACTATTGTTTTTGTTGTTGGCTTAGTAGGCCACGCCACTCTATAAACAAACACACACACCAATCCATACCCTTGTGTATTAGCAAAATTTCTACAAAACTTGCAAATTAAAAAAATAAACAAAAATTTCCATTTGCATATTAATAATTCTCTTGTGGTGGGATTATGAGGGTACCAAAGAGACAGATAGGAGAATGAGAGCGCGCAAATCTCTCGTTATCTTTGCAACAGAATGCCCAAAAACAAAAATCACCTAACATATGGCATTCTTCTATAAATATTTGATAAGCAATAACAAAAACCGGGAAATACAACATTTCACATTTGAAATTTTTATTGCTGCCGCTTTGGTTGTTGTTGTTGTTCTATAATTCGCGTGCTGCTTTGCTGTTGTTGTATTATGCCCGATTGTGTTGTGGAAATATACCCCAATATCAGGCGATATTCCCCAATTACGTCAGCTTCGAAAGAACGGCGAACACAGAGGTTCGAAAGCGCTAAACAACAACAAAAATAAACACAGAAATCCAAAACGTTAGAATTTTGATGAGATAATTAATACAAAAAAAAAGAAGGAATCGCCATGCGGCAATAATGGCTTTTAAAGACGCTATGACTATTTAAAGAATGAAAATATCGGTTATGTGAGGAAAATGAAAATCATTGCAACACAACCCAGTGGATAAAACAAATGGAATGAAAAGTAATGTTTTTTATAAAAAGGAAAATGTTGATTTTTTCCGCTGTAATAAGTTAGGGTTTTAATACGGAGAAGAGGTACCTAGTGATTTTCTAGGCACATGGGTACTTGGCAATTCTCCGAACTATGATCTACTAAAAATCCATGTTGTAGTTCAAATTATTATTGTCAACATCAGCTTATGATTCCAGGGGGTATTATGTAAATTGAATCAGCATTGATCCAAAATTAATTTTGAAGGACCCTTAAATTGGTCGCTATAAGCGGCCATTAAAAAATCAGAATTTTTTATTTCGTTGTTATAACCGATATACGACTGTTTCCGATTTTGATTTTAGTTTAAATTATTTCCTTATAATTTATGTCCAACTGTTATCGCCGATTTCGATTTTCGTTTAATTTTTTTCCTTAAAATTTATGTCCCTTTGTGACTATTTTGTTGTTTCAGGTCGGCTACCAGGTTTATAGATCGTGTGAGACTTTGGATCTATCCTTACTGGCTTTATTGATTCCAAAAACTATTTAGTTACAATGTGGTTATATCCAATCGAAGGCCAATTTCATTATCCATTTTTAAAATCGAACCAGTGGAACACGTTCTGAACATATTTTTTTTAATTCCATACACATTTGATCAAATAATTTAATATTTATTTCTCAGAAATACTGATCGCAGAGATTCTTGTCCTTTTGCTTCTTCTTTTTCTCTTTGATATTGCCTAAAATCATAAGAAAAAGTAAAAAAAGTAATACATAAAAATTAAAAACTTAACAACAATTATTATCACATGATCAGCAGGCAGGAAACCATTACATAATTTATCCTCAGCAAAGGATTCACAGAATTTCAACAGGGTCGGTCAACCTTTCAAATATAATGGCATCACCTATCCTACATTTATTTTTTTCAATTTTATTTTCAACACCTCATCTCTGCTGCTTGCTATGACTAAAATATAAACGAGAAAACTTGAAATTGTTTTAAAATTCGTTTCACATTTTCAAAAATTAACGACAAACATTTATATAGCCCCTTTTGTTATTCAAAAAAAAAAAAAAAAAATGTTCCAAAAAATTCCATTTCACAAATGGCTGTGACGACAACTGTGACTGGCAAAGCGGCGCAGGATAACTTCAGTAACAAGAACAGTAACACACAAAACCCAGCTGGCATAATAATTTATGACACACTATATAATAATTTATGACACACTTCTTTTTAGAACTTTTCGTTTTTTAGCTTCTTTTTTTGGATACAAACTTTTATTTGTTTTGTTGTAGGGCATGGCAAGAACAAGAAAAAAACATACATAAATTAAGAAAACACCGGGACCGACCGACAAAATCCAACCAACATCTGTGTGCAAAATTTCGTTTGTGTGTGCTCTCTCACTACACATACACACACTTGTTTAAACTTAATAGTAGAATAAGAAAAAGAAATAATACCGGCATCCATTTACCAAACCAAAAACGAAAAAAAAATCATGCCATATAAACATGCTACTACCCCTCTTTTAACTACAATGGGCAGCAGCAACAACAAACCGCACATTGTGAAAGCCATAACAAATGCCAGCCACAGTTGTTGGTAGCGGCAGCAGAAGCGTCGCCGTCTGTTTGTGTATTTGTATAGTTGTTAGCCTAGAAATCACCTGATTTTCTCAATGTATACTAACGTTTCAATTCCAGACTTGAAAATACAACAAAAACTAAACCACAAAGATATAAACAGGGAGAGAGCGCGAGAGAAAGTCTTTCAATTGAAAATGGCAAAACAGAAGAAGGGGAGCCCCGTTATTCAAACAAACCCCAACACTATTTGACATGCGAAAGGCAGTCTCTCTTGCTCTTCAATAAAACATATGTTTTTGGCACATTGAAGTAAGAGAGCAAGAGCATGGAGCTTTGGGCATATATTTCTCTGTGGGTGGAATATAAAAGAGATTATTTTAAACAAAATATTAAATAATTTGATATTAGGGTGGTACAAAAGGAAAAATAAGGAATTAAAAAGAAAATATGTAAAATATCCACTATGTTAATAACAATATATGATGCATGTTCCTTTTTGTAGTTGTAAAACAACAAGGCTTACATAAGGAAGGAATTTCAAATTCGCGGATATGAAAATTTATGATTTGGAATAATTCTCTTTACAGAAATTCACAATTTTATAGAATACAATTATTTCCAATTAATTAATAATTTAATTATTTAATAAATTACTAATTCTTTTTTTTTCTTTTTCTCATTTTAGCTTAACCAGCAAACTGTTGAAAACCGAGAATAACAAAATTAATTCATTACAACAAACTGTTGGACAACAACAACAACAAACGCCACAACAAAATCATAATTCGAAAAATAAAACCCAACAACAACATAATTCATCGCCAACGTTACAAAAATCTAGTAAATCGTCAAATCGTCGTAAAAAGAGACGTAACAAACTTCAACAACAGCAGCAGCAGCAACAACAGCCTAACACTGTTGTCCCACACGAAGAACATAACGGCCAATCATCACAACAACAAAATAATCATCACGACGGCCAGCCACAGCAGATAGTAGTAGTTAAAGAAAATCTTTCATCCTCTTCTTCTGCATTTTTAAAAAATTCCCATTCAACTTCTTCGCCAGCGGCAAATTTTGTAGTTAATCACAACAACAACAACGTCAATATGCCTGCCCGTTTTGCTGATGATGTCATTAATGACACCACGGAGCACACCGTGCCCATGAATATGCAGAGTCATTATAGCAATGGTCCTCGCGCCATGCCAACTGCCAGTGATATTGCCATCACTGGTTTCTCTGGTCGTCTACCAGAAAGTTCCAACATCGAGGAGTTCAAAAAGAATCTCTTCGAAGGTGTTGACATGGTCAACGATGATCCCAGACGTTGGGAAAAGGGTCTATACGGTCTACCCGAACGTCTAGGTAAAATTAAGGATGAAGATTTGGAAAATTTCGATCAACAATTCTTCAGCGTCCATCAAAAACAAGCTGAGTGCATGGACCCCCAAATGCGTATGCTGCTTGAAAGTACTTATGAAGCTATCATTGATGCCGGTGTCAATCCCTGCGAAATCCGTGGCTCACGCACCGGTGTCTATGTTGGTGTTTCTTCCTCGGAAACTGAACAATACTGGATGGCTGATCCCGATCGTGTCAATGGCTATGGTTTGACTGGCTGTGCCCGTGCCATGTTTGCCAATCGCGTTTCGTTCACTTTTGACTTCAAGGGTCCCAGTTACAGTGTAGACACTGCCTGTTCCAGTTCGTTGTATGCCTTGGAACAAGCCTTCTCCGATATGCGTGCCGGCAAATGCGACAATGCTGTCGTAGCTGGTTTGGGTGTTTTGCTGAAACCCACCATGTCTTTGCAATTCAAACGCTTGAACATGTTGAGCCCCGATGGTATGTGCAAAGCCTTTGACGAATCCGGTAATGGTTATGTGCGTTCCGATGGCTGCGTTGTTATCTTTTTGCAAAAGACCAGCAATGCCAAGCGTGTCTATGCCACCGTCTTGAATGTGCGCACCAACACTGATGGCTACAAGGAACAAGGTATCACCTACCCCATTGGTGCCATGCAAAACCGTCTGATCCGTGAAACCTATGAAGAAATTAACTTGAACCCCCATGATGTTACATACGTAGAAGCTCACGGTACCGGCACCAAGGTCGGTGATCCCCAGGAAGTCAACTCCATTACTGATTTCTTCTGCAAGGATCGCAAAACTCCCTTGTTGATTGGTTCCGTAAAATCAAATATGGGTCACTCTGAGCCTGCCTCAGGTGTCTGCTCCATTGCCAAGGTCTTGATTGCCATGGAAGAAGGTGTCATCCCCGGCAACTTGCACTACAAAAATCCCAATCCCGATCTATACGGTCTCTTGGATGGCCGCTTGAAGGTCGTTGACAAGAACACCCCCTGGGAAGGTGGTATTGTAGGCATCAACTCCTTCGGTTTTGGCGGTGCCAACGCTCACGTCATCTTGAAGTCGAACCCCAAACCAAAGGCGATTACCCCCACTGTTGGACCACCAAAATTGGTCGTCTGTTCCGGTCGTACCTTTGATGCTGTTCAAGATTTGCTCGAAGATGCCGTATCCCATCGTGACGATGATGAATATTTGGCATTGATCAACGACATCCACTCGAAGAACATCCCTTTGCATTACTACCGTGGCTACTGTGTCATGGACACCAAGGGCTCGTTGCAACGCGAAGTTGTCGAAACACACGATGAAAACCGCCCAGTTTGGTACATTTACACCGGTATGGGCAGTCAATGGGCCAGCATGGCCAAGGATTTGATGCAATTCGAGGTGTTCGCCCAGTCCATTCATCGTTGCGCCGAAGCCTTGCGCAGTGTTGACATGGACCTAATCGAAGTCATGACTAAATCTACCCAACAAAGTTTCGAAAACATTTTGAACTCCTTCATTTCGATCGCTGCCATGCAAGTGGCTTTGACCGATCTCTTGGCCTCGTTGGGCATTAAGCCCGATGGTATTATTGGTCACTCGGTCGGTGAATTGGGTTGTGCCTATGCCGATGGCTGCTTCACACCCGAACAAACTGTTTTGGCTGCATACTGGCGTGGTAAGAGCTTGCAAGACACCGCCTTGGCTCCCGGTAAAATGGCTGCCATCGGTTTGGACTGGGAAGAGGCCCACAAACGTATGCCAGCTGATTGCTTCCCCGTATGCCACAATAGCGCTGACAACTGCACCGTCTCTGGACCCGAGAAATCCATTGATGCCTTGGTGGAAAAACTCTCAGCCGAAGGTATCTTTGCTAAGGCCGTCAACTCATCCGGTTATGCTTTCCACAGCAAATACATTGCCGAAGCTGGACCTAAACTACGCAAGAGCTTGGAGAAAATCATTCCAAATGCCAAGAACCGCACATCCCGCTGGATCAGTACCAGTATCCCCGAGTCTGCCTGGAATACTCCTGTAGCCAAGCAATCATCTGCCGCCTATCACGTCAACAACTTGTTGTCGCCCGTATTGTTCTACGAGGGTCTGCAACACATCCCTAAGAATGCTGTCACCATTGAAATTGCCCCCACTGGCTTGTTGCAAGCCATTTTGAAGAGAGCTTTGGGTCCCGAATGCACCAACATCAGTTTGGTGAAACGTGGCCACGAAAACAATGTGGAATTCTTCCTGATGAACATTGGTAAATTGTATGCCGCCGGTATTCAACCCCAAGTTTTGACCATGTTCAAGCCCATCTCCTATCCAGTTGGTCGTGGTACCCCCATGTTGAGCTCTAAGGTCGGCTGGGACCACTCCCAAAAATGGTTCGTACCCAAATACGGCAAGGAAACTACATCGGGTGAAACCGTTGTGGAAGTCGATTTGTCCAAGGAAGAAGATGCTTTCTTGGCTGGTCACACCATCGATGGCCGTATTTTGTTCCCTGCCACCGGTTACATGACTTTGGCCTGGAAGACATTCGCCAAAATGAAGGGTATGGAATACGAGAAGTGCCCTGTCGTTATGGAAAATTTGGTGTTCCATCGTGCCACCATCCTGAACAAGGACAGTGTTGTGAAATTCGGCCTCAACTTCTTCGATGGCACTGGCAACTTTGAAATTTGTGAAAGCGGCAGTTTGGCCATGTCCGGCAAAATCTCTTTGGCCGAAAATATCGAACGCGAAGAACTGCCCTTGGATCCATTGGCCGCTAACGTCGAAGCCAAGGAATTGAGCACCAACGATGTCTACAAAGAGTTGAGATTGAGAGGCTATGACTACGGTGGTATCTTCCGTGGCATTGTCAAGTCCGACACCACCTCCAGCACTGGCAATTTGCAATGGGTAGGCAACTGGATCAGTTACATGGACACCATGTTGCAATTCAGTATCTTGAGCAAGAATCTGCGTGAATTGTACTTGCCCACCCGCATCGAAAAGGCTGTACTCAACCCCCTGAAACACATGGAAGAATTGTCCAAACTTAGCGCCGAAGAACAAAGCCAAAATGGCTTGCCCGTGTACATGTACAACGACATTACCGTTATCAAGAGTGGTGGTGTTGAAATGCGTGGCTTGAAGGCATCCTTGGCCCAAAAGAGACCCGGTGGCCAAAGTCCACCCACCTTGGAACGTTACACCTTCGTACCATACGTCAACAACACAGAATTGCAAGAAAACACAGAGAAGGCACGTCTACATGCTTTGACTGTCGCCCTCCACTTGATCATTGAGAACTCCCAGGGTGCCTTGAAGATTAAGGGCGTTGAGTTGGCCAATGGCCGCAACCCTGATGTTTTGATGGCCACCAAATTGTTGCAAATCATCGAAGGTGAGCCCACCATCACCGCTGACATTGCCGTCGTCACTTCCAATGGTAATGAGGAGACCATTGCCTCCGCCTTGGGCGCCGATTCCGGAGTACGCATCGTATCCAAGAACATTCTCGAAGAACCGGTAGAGCAGAACTGTCATTTCCTATACGCCTTGGATGTACTCTCGCGCCCCGATACCATGATTCTGACGAACGGTGTCCAGACCATTAAGGACAATGGCTTCTTGATGTTCGAAGAAAATCTCAGCGCCTACAACAAGTCGGGACGTGATTTGTTGAAGAAACACGGCTTGATTGTCATCACCGAACAAGTGTTGGGAGGAACCCGTGTCTTGGTTATGGCCCGCAAACCAGTCGATGTCAAGCAACGCGATGCCGTCGTTGTCCATGTCACCGAAAACCACTTCGAATGGTTGGAAGAATTGAAGGAAGCTTTGGCCAAGGCAGCTGAAATTGAACGCTATGTCTATGTTGTGTGCCAAGGAGAGGAGCTGTTCGGTGCTGTTGGTTTCATGAATTGTATCAAGAATGAAAATGGTGGCAAATTGGCCCGCATGATTTTCGTCCAAGATGCCAACGCCGAGAAGTTCTCCTTGTCCAGCGAATTCTACGCCCAGCAATTGGCCAAGGACTTGATCAACAATGTTTTGAAGTCCGGCGCCTGGGGCTCCTTCCGCCACTTGAAATTGGAAACTGATGTCGCTACATTGCAAGTTGAGCACGCCTACGTCAATGCCTTGGTCAAGGGTGATTTGGCCTCCTTGAAATGGATCGAAGCACCACAAATGAACCCAAGCTTGTTGAGCGATGATCTTGAATTGTGCAGTGTCTACTATGCCCCCATCAACTTCCGTGATGTTATGTTGTCGTCTGGCAAACTCTCCGCTGATGCCTTGCCTGGTGATTTGGCCCAACAGGATTGTGTTTTGGGTTTGGAATTCGCCGGTCGCGACTCTAAGGGACGTCGTATTATGGCCATGGTACCAGCCAAGTCATTGGCTACCACCTGTGTTGCCAGCAAGAACATGATGTGGGAAATTCCCGAAAACTGGTCCATGGAAGAGGCCTCCACAGTACCCTGTGTCTATGCCACCGTCTACTATGCTTTGGTCGTAAGAGGACAAATGAAGAAGGGCGAAAAGATTTTGATCCATGCCGGTTCCGGTGGTGTTGGTCAAGCCGCCATTTCTGTTGCCTTGCACCATGGCCTCACAGTTTTCACCACTGTCGGCAGTGTTGAGAAACGCGAATTCTTGAAGAAACGTTTCCCACAATTGAAGGACTCGCACATTGGCAACTCCCGTGACTGCTCCTTCGAACAGATGATTATGCGCCAGACCCAAGGCAAGGGTGTCGATTTGGTACTGAACTCTTTGGCTGAAGAAAAATTGCAAGCCTCCATCCGTTGCTTGGGTTTGAACGGCCGTTTCTTGGAAATTGGCAAATTCGATTTGAACAACAACTCCCCCTTGGGCATGTCGGTGTTCTTGAAGAATACCTCATTCCATGGTATCCTGTTGGACAGTGTTATGGAAGGCGAAGAAGCTATGCAGAACCAAGTTGTTTCCCTGGTCGCCGAAGGTATCAAATCTGGTGCCGTCAGACCATTGCCCACATCGGTCTTCAACGACCAACAAGTGGAACAAGCTTTCCGTTTCATGGCATCTGGCAAACACATTGGCAAGGTTGTCATTAAGGTCAAGGATGAAGAAGAGGGCCGCAAGACCCTTAAGCCCACACCACGCCTCGTCAACGCCATTCCCCGCACATACATGCATCCCGAGAAGAGCTACATCATTGTTGGTGGTCTTGGTGGTTTCGGTTTGGAATTGACCAACTGGTTGGTGTCCAGAGGCGCCAAATTCCTAGTATTGACCTCACGTTCCGGCATTAAGACAGGCTACCAAGCCCTTATGATCAGAAGATGGCAAGAACGCGGTGTCAAGGTCGTGATCGACACCAATGACGTTACCACAGCCAAGGGTTGCCAACAACTGTTGGAGAATGCCAACAAATTGGCTTTGGTTGGTGGCATCTTCAATTTGGCTGCTGTTCTCCGTGACGCTCTCTTGGAAGATCAAACCGTCAAAGATTTCCAGACTGTGTGCGACTCAAAGGTACAGGGCACCAAATACTTGGATCAATACTCGCGTACCATGTGCTCCGAATTGGACTACTTCGTGTGCTTCTCCAGTGTGTCATGCGGTCGTGGTAACATTGGTCAGACCAATTACGGTCTTGCCAATTCCGCCATGGAACGTATCTGTGAAATGAGACAAGTCAGCGGATTCCCAGGTTTGGCCATTCAATGGGGTGCCATTGGTGATACTGGTTTGGTTATTGAAAATCTCGGTGACAACGACACCATCATTGGTGGTACCTTGCCTCAGAGAATGACCTCCTGCTTGCAAACTATGGATCTGTTCCTGCAACAACCCCATCCAGTTTTGGCCTCAATGGTTGTGGCTGAAAAACGTAAACAAGACACGAGCGGCGGTGTCAGCTTGGTGTCCTGCGTTGCCAACATTCTCGGCTTGAGAGACATTAAGAACGTACAAGACTCCGCCACATTGGCCGATTTGGGTATGGATTCGTTGATGGGTGCTGAAATTAAACAAACATTGGAACGTAACTTCGATATCATCCTGTCGGCCCAAGAAATCAGACAGCTTACCTTCGGCCACCTGAAGGAATTGAGTGGTGGTTCGGAAAGCACTGATCAAGCCGCCACAGCCTCGCCCGCCCGTCGTACACCCAGCCCAAGTGCTGCATTCGGCGATGGCACCCAAGTTGTATTCTCCACCGAACTAATGCCCACATTGCCCATTGTACGTTTGCCCTCGTTGGCACCCGAAGACTGCAAGAAACGACCATTGTTCTTCATCTCGCCCATTGAAGGCTTCGCCGATGCCCTTAAACAATTGGCCTCCCGTTTGGATTGCCCCGTGTACGGTCTGCAATGTACCGCCGAAGCTAACGTCGAGAGCATAGACAATTTGGCCAGTTTCTATTTGAAACAAATCCGCACAGTACAACCTAAGGGACCCTATGCTATTGCCGGTTACTCCTTCGGTGCCTTGGTTGCTTTCGTTATGGTCTTGCAATTGGAAAATAACAAGGAAGAAGCTCGTTTGGTGATGTTGGACGGTGCACCCAAATATGTGAACTGGTACACCACCAACTTCAAGCAACGTCTCAATACCTCCGATGATCAAAACGAAGCTTATGGTTTGGCCTATTTCGGTATGGTTGTGGCCAATATTGATTACAGTTTGGTGGCCAAGGTGTTGTTGAATGTGCCGACATGGGAGAGCAAGGTTGCCAAATGTGCTGAAATTGTTGCCGGTGAAATTAATCAACCTGTTGAATTGGTAAGTTGAATGAAAGAGAGAGGGAGAGAGTGAGTGAGTTGTCAATCATTCTCTTTACGTTGATTTGGGGTATATTTTGTATTAATTTGTGTTTTGTTGTTGTTACAGATTAAACAAGCAGCTAACTTCTTCTACAAGAAATTGTTGGCCGGTGATAAATATGTGCCATCTGGCAAGGTATCCTGCGATGTAACCCTAGTCAAACCCACTGAAAATTATGCCAAATTGGAAGAAGATTATGGCCTCAATGAGGTATGTTTGAGAAGGAATTATGTTATTATTAAGGATTATTATTTTTATGGGCATTTCAAAGAATATCTATGCTGGAAAGTAAATGAAATATAATGGAATATGAGGTTATGTCTACTATGGCTTAACTTCGACAAATATTTTTTGAAGAAATATTAAAGTTTGCACATGAAACTACCTCAGTTTGAGTTGTGTCTTATATTGACCACTAACCTCTAAATTTTCAATGCCATATATTTTGAAATTCTTTGAATTATACCTGATCTCTTATAGTTTGATTTTTAAAACCACTTCGATTTTCATACTAAATGTTTTTTCTCTTTTTTCCTTATTTACAGGTCTGCAGCAAATCCGTGAATGTTCTCACAGTCGAAGGCAACCATCGTACTTTCCTGTTAGAAGAGAAATCACTTAAGCAAATCGAAAGTCTATTAAATAGCATCTAAATTACAACTAAAAAAATACCATCATCACCATTCAACGGATAGACTAAGAAGAGCAACCAAACGTCCACACAAAAAACAAACAAAAATTAAACAACACAAAAATGTTATTTGCGTTTTCAACAAATAACTTTTTTAATCATCCTCATTAATAATTTTACATAGAATTATATCTATATATATACAAAAAGAGACGCACATACCCATATACCAATTTATGGCACTACTTATTAACAAAAAAACAACTCAACAGCTATACAAATAATAATTTTGTTGATCTTTATATGTGGCTGCACTTTTATTATTCAAAAATGCACTTAAATGTTCACAACAAAATTGTTAGTAGCCTCTTTTTGCAAAACTCTAATTGCGTGATACCAACAAAATCTCAATGGGGTTTTTACAACTTGCTTAGCTTGTTGAATATTGTTGAAAATATAAGTAGGTCCAAAATAATTGTAATTTTTAACAATATTCTACAATCTAAGTGACCTGTAAACCATTTGGATTTTCTTGTTCGAATGTAGACATTAAAAAAACAAACAAAAAAATCATTCCATCAGGAAACAAATTTCTTGCTTAAAAAACAAACAAACCTTTAAACCAAAAAACAAAAATTGTAACAACTCATTAAATTTTTCTTTCTATCTCCAACTCCTCCACCTAGGCATGTAAACATAGTTTTGTAGGTAGGCGCAGCTTCTATCTTCACTACCCCCAAAACTATAAGTAATTTTTATAAATAATTTGTAAATCGTTATGTAATTAGTTTTTAGTTGAATTTTGTTTAATTTTTTTTTTATTATTTTATAATTATAATGTAAATGTTAGCAACAAACACACAGAGCATTTTCTCAATTTAGAAAAAAGAAAAATAAAAGCGAAACGAAACAACTCTTATTAGTTTTAAGTTATTTTTTAATATAACTATAATACAAAAATAAAAAAAAAACAACTACAATGTATGTATGATTAAATAATTACCATAAATGTTGAAATAATGCTTATAAAAAACACCACAAACTCCTCCTCATACACCTCATCACTGTATGTAGTTATATAAATAATCCAAACACATGTATCTCTTTTGCACACCCCCTCAAATTTGTAACTTGATATTTGAAAATATTTTGTTTTTAAAATAACCAAATCCTTCTCCCAGTAATAATCATACAACAACAGCCAGAAAGAAATTATATTATCACCAACAACAAACAACAGCAACAACAAAAAAAAACATGCATTGAACAATGAATTTATGTAATATGAGTAAACAAAAAAACTAAATGAAACCAAATTATTATATAAATGTGTATATTTATAATAAATAACAACAAAAACATAAAATAAAGGAAATTAATTAAAAAAATAAAGGGTATTTTTATTTCCAAAAGAGGGAGAGGTGTGTGGGTTCTATGTCAGTATATGGTATTTAACAGCATGCATGCTCTCCAAGTGAAAGAACTAATAAAAATCCATAGATTTGCTCATACTCTGACATGTGAGAACACAAATGTGCTACTATTTGCCTGACGCTTATCTATGTTTTCTCTAATCCTTTGATGAGAATAAATAAAAAATACTAGATTATTGAACAATTTACGTCTCCCATCTCCGGGTTTTCTTTTTTTCGTTCATCGAAAATGTTAAAAAATACCAGAGACAAATACTAGGCGATCAGAATCAAGTAGAACGCATGCAAAAAAGAGTAAATTTAAGAAGCGCCTAAAAGATGCTTTAAATTTCAAATTTATAAACAAATTTTAAGTGTTGCCAATCATTTTCATACTGATGCCAAATTGTTATAAAGACAATCATGCAAACGCCTAAAAGTATGCTTTATTTATTTAACTTGAAACAATTGCAAATACATTATGGCCGATATTACACAGAATTTCATTGTTGCTGTCATTTCACATATGACGGAAAATAAAGCTAAAGGTGGTACATTATTTCGGATTTTCGTGGACTTATATCCTATACGTATTATCCAGGTCGAATATTTTGAATGTTTTGTTAATTATTGACAACAGTTTTTTGTTTCGTCTTCGATTTTTGTTTGTTAAAATTGCTCACAAAATGTTGGACTCGGACCGCATTACATGAGGGTGGATCGTGAATAGACATGAAACCAAAGCACAGCCTAAAATTTGGTTGGGTTTGAACGGATCTGTAGCAGGTTTTTAAATAATGTTTAAGGATCTCAGATACGTTTTTAACCGAATTGGCTGTAATTTATTTTATATTTTGAGGTTCCCAAATTTTATATTTTGGGTTCTCATATCGTAGCATGTGAATGGATAGAGCAAAAAACTTGAAATTTGGAATGCAAATGAAAGTTGAGAAGTACGTTTTGCTGGTTTTGGAAGTGTGTATACGAAAAAGACTAAACCGTAATAAATTTGGTACAATTTGAATTTGAAGGAACGTATGGAGCTGGAATCCTCAAATGGGGAAATAATATTTCTATTGGATTGCATGATGTATGTTTTAATGGAAATTTGTACTTATGTGTACTAGGTGGTACCAAATTTGATACAATTCGGATTTAGGCGATCCGATAGTGCTGGAATTATGAAATTTGGAATAAAGATTAATTATGGAGTGTAGAATCGGGGTATGTAGGGAGTTTTGGAAATTAGTAGTTATTGGTACTAAATTTGGTACATTTTGGATTGGGGTGAACTGATCGGGTTCGAATCCTGAAATTAGGAAAATGACTTCTATTGGAGTATAGAATTTGGGGAATGTAGGAAGTTTTCGAAATTCGTACTTATGTGTACTAAATCGTACTAAAATTTGATATAATTTGAATTTGGGTGAACTGATAGGCTTAAATTCTTATTGGGAAATATGATTTCTATTGGATGGAAATTTGTACTTATGCGTACTAAATGGAAGTAAATTTTATTAATGGAAATTTATACTTATATGTACTAGGTGGTACCTAATTTTGTACAATTCGGATTTAGACGATCTGATAGTGCTGGAATTATGAAATTTGGAATAAAGATTAATTATGGAGTGTAGAATTGGGGTATGTAAAAAGTTTTGGAAATTAGTAGTTATATGTACTTAATGGTACTAAATTTGGTACATTTTGGATTGGGATGAACTGATCGGGTTGGAATCCTGAAATTGGGAAATATGACTTCTATTGGAGTTTTGGAAATTCGTACTTATGTGTACTAAATTGTACTAAAATTTGGTATAATTTGAATTAGGGTGAACTGATGAGGCTGGAATCCTCATTGACAAATAAGATTTCTATTGGATGGAAATTTGTACTTATGCGTACTAAATGGTACTATATTTTATACAATTTGGATGTAGGCGATCCGATAGAGTTGCACCCTTGAAATTTGGAACTAAGCTTACTGTTGGAGTGAAGAATTGGCTTATGTAGGGAGTTTTAGAAATTCGTATTTAGGTTTACTAAATTTGGTACAATTTGGATTTCGGTGAAATACACACACACACACCATCAGAAATAGATTTTTTCTTCTCAGGAATCCTTAAATTGGGAATTCAGATTAATGTTGGAGTGTACAATTGGAGTATGTAAGATTTTTTAGAAATTCGAATGGGGTATGACTGGTTATTGTCCTCTGATACTTAATTATAAAAACTAGTACCAAAAAAAAACAAAAAAATCGGTCTGTAGTTTGATATTTAGTTGTCTTCTGGCAGCTATTTACTATGACATAGCCCCCATATAAAAATCCCGATACATTTTAAATTTCAACCTCATGCCAAATACGACCCAGCAGAACTTAACGACTTATCTATATATTTAATATATGTACATGTTCTCACTGGGGATACATAAATCGAAATCGACTTTTGATCTTTGAGGAAGTCGCAAAGTCGACTTTTGATTTCCTTTATAAATACTTATTTTTTTCCAAATTATACATTCCAGAACATTATTTTATCTATTGACAACAATTTAAACAAAAAAATTTTTAGTCGATTTTGCATCGGTCGATAAAAGTCCAAAATCGATTTTGAACATGTTTGACAAAATCGGAAGATCGACATTTTAGTCAAAGGCAAAAATCGAAAAGTGGACTTTTGCGCTACTGCGACTACGTTACGGCATAGACCCCATATCGCTCATTTGATGCAAGGCCATCATGATTTTTTAGTTAATGATGCATTTTCTGCAAAATCGATATTTTTGATTACCCCAGCTTCAACAAAGGTATTTTTTTTAATATTAAAAGACTCGTTTGTATGTATTTGCATTAAATAAATTGTAAACAAATAAATACATTAGCTTGTATATTGATTACAATTTACATATTTAAGTAATAATGAATTTCAACTAACAACGCCAAGTTGTTAATTAATTAACATAATAATGATGATGCCATAAATTAATGCGGGAGGCAAGCAATGAATCGTCATCAACTGCGACCCATCACTTGAATGGTAATTATCGTTGAAATGTCATAAACCTAACCTAGACTGATTACGATCTGCTATACTTTGATATTTATACTTTTGCACTCTCTATATTCCAGAAGGCCCTCCCCCAGACATAATAATGTAGATTTGTCATTTTATAGTTTTATCTGGCTAATAATGAAATGTCTTTGATAAAAATGAAAGAAATAAACAAAATTAGGGGTTTGACAGAAGTTACTTAAAGTGGAATTTTTTCTAGGTCTACTTTTGTTGCAGCGATAAGATTGAGTTACACACACACAAAATATATCGATGAAAAACTTTACAATATGTCATTTTTATTTGTAAATATTTTGACTATTCCGATAGTTATTGTTATTACAGAGACTTTTATGTGGAATTACCTTTGCTCTTGTAGTTCAAAATAGCCTTCATTATTTTGAACAGCTATTAACATTTTGTCTATTTATTTACGAAACTTGCCGCTTGTTTTCTAAAAAAATCTATACTCCTTGACCACTTTCTGTCGCCAATCACCGCAATATTTCATCTTCTTTGCAGGCCGAAGAAAGATTAATGACCATATTATTCACA